TACATTTTTGAGAATAGATCAGATTACTACTTTCTAATTGTTTTTTAAAATTTTTTAAAATGTTTTATTTATTTCTGAGAGAGAGAGAGAGAAAGAGAGAGAGACAGCATGAGTGGGGTGGGTGGGGGTCAGAGAGAGAGGGAGACAGAATAGGAAACAGACTCCAGGCTCTGAGCTGGCTGTCAGCACAGAGCCCAGTGTGGGGCTCGAACCCACGAACAGTGAAATCATGACCTGAGCCGAAGTCCAACGCTTAACCGACTGAGCCCCCCAGGTTCCCCAAGATTACTACTTTCTAAATTGCACTATTTCCAATCATAATCTAATAAAGCACTTTATTTGGGGTCAGAGACTGGGACACACTGCTAAGCCTTGGGACTATGTCAGGAAAACTGGTAAATTTAGCTACTTAGTATTAGGAGCCTGAGACAGCTCCATTCTCACTCATTAGGAACTTGGAGTGATTACTTGCATTCTAAAGAAACCAAATGTCTTTGAATATTTTATAAATAAGACAAGCCACATAATATGCTATTTTGAATGTTCTAGTGTTTTGATACTGCATAATGTGATGCAGCCTGACATTACAGAGATCAGCTTCTTTTTTGTTTGATGCTGTTCTTAAAATGTTTTATAGCAAATCATTATGCAACATGTGCATTTATCTTCATATTACAGTGACAATATATTTGTAAATCATGGAATTACTGCATTATATTTGCATTTATTTCCTTTGGTAAAACAATAGTTATATATTTTATTCTTATAATTTATACAACCTTATTCATGCACACACTAACAAAAACAGCAACAAAAACCCTAAACTTATTGTAATCACACAGCTATAAACACACCAAGAAAAAGATGCGATAATTAAATGCTTTTGGGTATACAATAAAGCTGCTACTGACAGAAAATAGTTCATTTTAGAATTTCCATTAATTTCAGGCTTACTGAAATCTAAGTGGCAGCCAAGAGAAAGATATTTATTTAGCCGCTGAGTATTTCATTTAGCAAACAGCTACTAAGCACCTAGTATGTGTTACGCCTCACTATAAGCTCCAGGAGTGCAACACTAAAGAATAAATAATTTTTCTCAATGACCCTGAAAATTCTGTTCATTTACATTTTTCCCTTGAAAACTTTATTTTAGCGCAGATTTAAGTTATCATCAAAAATAGAATAGAAGGTACACAGGTGTCACATATACATACACATGCATAACTTTCCTCATTATCAATATTTCTACCAGAATGGAACATTGTTATAATCGATAAACTTACACTGACACATCATCTCACCCAAAGTTCACGTTTAAAGCTCACTTTAAGTGTTGTACATTCTGTTGGTTTGAATAAATTCTACCAGTTTATCATATGTACCCATCTTCGCAGTATAAAGAGTTTTACTGCCCTGCAAGTACTTTATGCTCCTATTTATTTATGCTTCCTTCCTCCAATCCCTGTCATTGCTTTAGCTCAGCATTCCAACAGAATGTTGAAAATAAGTGTCGAAAGGGGATATACTTGGCTTGTACCTGATGTCAGTGGGAAAACTTCCAGTTTCTGACAATTAAGTATGATGTGAGCTGAAGGTTTTATATATGTTCTTTATCGAATTGAGAAAATTCTCATTTATTCCTAGTTGCTGAGAATTTTTATCATAAACGGGTATTGTCTTTCAACAAGTGCTTTATGTGCATCTTGATATGTTCTACTTACTTTGCGGTTATAATATATAATTACAATGTATGCATTATACATTACAATATACATTAGCAACTAATCCAAGATATGGTGGTTAATTTTGTGTTAACTGGATGGGCTAAAGGAAGCCTGTTAAACTGGTAAAACATTATTTTGGGGTGTGTCTGAGAGTGTTTCTGGAGGAGATTAGCAGTTTAATCATTAGACTGAGTCTAGAAGATTCACCCTTACCAATGTGTATGGGTATCAACCTACTGATTAAGGGCCTTAATAAAACAAAAAAAGTAAGGGAGGGTGAATTCTTGCTTTTTCTTCTTGAGCTCTGATACTTATCATCTCCTGCCCTCTGACTTTAGAGCTCCTAGGTTTTGGGCCTTCAGATTTGGAACTTATATCAGCAGCCCCCCTTTCTGAGGCCTTCAGCTTTGGACTTGGGAGTTATACTAGTATGGATCCCCTGGTTCTCAGGTTTTCAAATTCAGACTAAATTAAACCTCTGATATTCCAGGTTCTCCAGATTTCAGATAGCAGAGTTTGGGATTTTTCAGCCTCCATAGTGTCCTTAGCCAATTCCTATGATAAATTTTTTCTATCCATCTCTATCTATCTATCTATCTATCTATCTATCATATACCTATGTTATCTACCTTCTACATGCTTTTGGTTCTGTTTCTCTGGAGAACCCTGACTAATACACAAGTCCACTTTGAAACGACACTATACCACTGTGCAGGTAATGTGAGTACCTTATAATACAAAATAACCCTAATTCCTCTACCCCATTCCTTGTATCATTGCTGTCATTTATTTGACTTAATATATAAGTAAATATAAATATATTATGTAAGCAAATATGTATATATTCTTATATATAACAATAAATAAGAAAATACATTGTTGCGGCTATATTTTGAACAAATCTTTATCTGTTAGATCAATTAAGAATAAAAAAGAGAAGTTTTCATTTTATCTTCACTTATTCCTTCTCCAATGTTCTTCCCTCCTTTGTGAGCATCTGAGTTTCTAATCTATATTTTCCTTTTCTCTAAAGAATTTTTAACTTTTCATGTAAGGCATGTTTACGAGCAAGAAACTCCATCAATTTTTGTTAGTTAAAAAAGTCGGTTATGGGGTGGGGGGGTGTCTAGGTGGCTCAGTCAGTTAAGTGCCCCACTCTGGATTTCAGTTTAGGTCATTATCTCAAGGTTCATATGTTTGAGTACCACATTGGGTAAGCTCGAGCCCTGTTTTGGGTGAGCCACACTTCTCTCTCTTTCTTGCTCCCCTGACCCTCTCTGCACCTCCTGGTATTTTGTCTCTGCCCCTCACTCACTTGCACCCTCTCTTTCTTGCTCTCAAAAACAAACAGACAAACAAAAAAAAAACACAAAAATTAAAAAAACACCCTCCTCTAAAACTCATATGCAATGGTTCTCTTTGCTCCTCTGTAGGTAAGTTGCTTTTCTTCATCTGCCTTCTTTCAGGATTTTTTAAAAACTTGATCTTTGTTTTTTTGTTTTGTTTTTTTGAAAATGGTATGCCTAGGTGTGATTTTTGGGTACTTATCTTGTTTGGTGCTTTATGAGCTTCCTGGACCTGTGTGCTGTTGTCTGACATTAATTTGGGAAAATTCTCAGACATTATTGTTTCAAGTATTTCTTCTGCTTTATTTTATTTTTATTTTTTTTCTCCTCTTTGTATCCCTATATGTGTATTCTACATATTTGTAGTTGTCCCACAGTTCTTGGCTATTCTCTTTATTGATTTTTTTAGTGTTTTTATTTAATTTGCTTTCCAGTTTTAGAAATCTCTTGTGATGTCCTCAAACTCAGGAATTCTTCCCTCAGTCTACTAATAAGCCTATCATAAGCATTCTTTATTTCTGTTACAGTGTTTTTGATCTATACCATTTTCTATTTTGTTTTAAAAAACTTTTTTAATGTTTTATTTATTTTTGAGAGAGAGACAGACAGAGACAGAGAAAGAGAGACAGCATGAGCAGGGGAGGGTCAGAGAAAGAGGGAGACAGAATACGAAGGCAGGCTCCAGGCGCTGAGCTAGCTGTCAGCACAGAGCCGAAGTGGGGCTTGAACCCACGAACTGAGAGATCATGACCTCAGCGAAGTCAGAAAGTTAACGGACTGAGCCACCCAGGCGCCCCTATCTATAGCATTTTTAAAAGTTTATTTTATTTATTTTGAGAGAGATCGTCAGAGGGAGCAGGGGGAGGGGCAGAGAGAAGGAGAGACAGTCCCAAGCAGGATCCACACTATCAGCAAGAAGCCAGAAACCGGTAGGGAGGGTGCCAGCTCACAAACCGTGAGATCATGACCAGAGCAGACATCAACAGACGGACACTTAACCTGCTAAGCCATCCAGACACCCCAGATTTATAGCATTTCTTTCTGTTTCTTTCTTGGGTTTTCTGTTCACGCTGCCCACATGCCCTCTACTTTATGTGTTAAAGCTATTAGTATATTTATATAATCACAGTTGTTATAAATTCCTGCATCCCTGCTATATCTGAGTTTGCTTTTGAGGCTTTCTCTGTCTTTTCAAGTTATGTTGTTTTGCCTTTTGGCATTTTTTTTTTCCCTTCCCCTAGACTCAGACAGGAGATATTAGGTGAAAGGAACTGCCCTGCCCCACACTCCCACCGACAAAGTCACATAGTGCACCTTCAGCCTTCAGCTGCTCTCTGTTTGCCCTGCTGGGGGAAATTCCACACTCCTCCCAACCAGATAAGGCCCTGGGGCCCAGTTTGTGAGCATCCCTGATGGTGACCAAAAGAGAACGTTTCCTTAAGTAAGTTCCTCCATGGAATGGCGCTGGCAATTAGGCAGGGTCAGTAAGAGAGAACAATGCCAAGAGATTTTTCCTCAAGGGGCAAGTTCTGAGGAAAAGGCAGAGTGATGGCCTCCTGAGTTGAATTCAAGAACTCGGGAGTTGGTGGGAAATAAATAACTGGACTGAGGACTCGCAATGGAACGTTGTGTTTGGGTTGTTGAAGCTTTGGACCTTGGCAGATTTGGGACCAGGACCCCAACTTTCTATTAAGGAAGCCGGTGTCCTTTCACTGGGTCCTTAGTTCCCCAGGAAGACCATAAACCTGTGCAAGGGTTTGCTCACCGCCCACATTCTGGCCTCAGACAACAGCTCCCACGCTCAGCCTTTGGGCCAGAGCTCACTGCCACACTCCTGGTGGCAAGCGCCGTGGAGCTCGGTGCCACAGTGTCACTTGGAAACGCGCAGGGACAGGCATCTACTAGGACTGGGGTTTACCTGACAGGTGGGAAGAGCCAGAAGCGTCGCTGCCTATGTCGGGATAAGGATACTCAAGCAGAGAGTCCACAAAGCCTTGCGGGCCCCCGTAGATCTCTCAGCATCTCGCGAGATCTGATTCACCTGTGTGGTTTACTGAGCTCGCAGGGCTTCTGGCCGGGATGCTTGTTTGTCTGCGTCACCTCCCACTCAGAGCGTTCCAGACTGTGCCCTCCTGGCTGCTGTCAGGACCTGTCAGCCTTACCAGTAGGTAAGGAGTGAGGGGAGGAGGAGAGTTCTAGTGTCCTGTGGTTACATTTTGGTCTTTTTGTGTGCCCGAAGTTTTGGATTCTTAACTTCACCTGTGCGCCTCTGTGTTTAATCCCCTTAAACGGGACGAGAGGCTGGGAGTGAGCTGGAGAGACGTATTTCCCTTCTTCCAGGTGGAATGCTGGAAGGGTCTGGGGTTGTAGATTTCTCTCCTGAAGTCAGTTAAACTCTGGAAAAACCTCACAAAATTAGCCTCTGGTTAAAAAAAATGCTCTGGCATATTTCAAAATGTCTTATTTTTCCTCTACCTGTGCCAGAATGAAGAGAGGTTTTTTGTTGTTGCCCCCTTCCCGCTACCCCGCCCCCTTCACATTCCCTGTAAGAATCAGATTGAGCTCTGGGAGGTAAAAAACAATGTGGAGACCTCTTATGACTGGGTGCTTCTGGAATTTTTGACTCTCAGTTAGCCACACTGACCCTCCAGTAATTATCAAAGTTTAACTTTCCCTCCCTGGAAATGTTGCTATGCGTGGGCTTCTGAGCTGATAAATTGTGATTCTTTGTAATTTTCCCATTGGTCTCTCCAGTTTTGGGGATACTGGTTTTGCCTGTAACCTCACTTCTCTTATGGATCTAAGAAAAATTGATTTTTCACTGTGTTTAGTTTTTTAATGTTAAGATAAGGTGTGCCAGTTCCAAGCTTCTTGCATTCTAGACTGGAGACCAAAAGTTTGGAGATTGCATTTTAATAGAGGAAGGCAAATGATAAACAGGCAAACAAAATAAGTATATACTGTGTCAGATGGTAAGTGCTGTGCAGAGAATAAATCAGGGTAAGGTAAATAGGCAGTTCTATTACGGGACAGATAACAGTTTCCAAACTCAGGGTCAGCTGCTCGCTGCTGGAAAATCTTGCTACCCAAGACACAATTGATAGTGAGGAAAGAAAGGTTGCTTTATTCAGGAAGCTGGAAACCTGGGAAGATGGTGGATTAAAATCTCAAAGACCATTTTTACCATTCACATGAGGCTGGAGGGTTTTAAAGGGGAAGACATGGGAAAAGGAAGGGGGCTATGTGCTAGAGAAGCAAGATCCCAGGTAGTTAGTCATATGTAGACATAACCTTGAACAGACTTGCTGGCATCCTTGGCAACTGTTTTCAAATGTAGTTAGGCCTTATTTTCTGGGAAAGTACAGCTCTTCACTCCTCAAGGTTAATGGTTTGCAAATTTCAAGGAAAGTAAGTTCTGCTGCAAACCAAAGGGCTTAGGTCAGAAAGCAAGGAGTGCATAAGCTTGAAGCAAGTTAACCCTTAAGGTTTGTTGGAGTGCTGTTACAGTTCTAATGAGAGGGGCAAATTGCTGTTTTATATTGGATAGTCAGGGGAGGCCTTACTGAAAATGTGACATTTGAGCAGATGCAGAGAGCCTGGTGGCTCTCTGGGGGAAACAACAGTACAAAGACTCTCAAGTGTCAAATGTTCTTTGTGGTCTAGAACAGGAAAGGTGTGTGTCTGGGCAGAGAGAATGAGAGAGAAGTAGGAGATAAGTCACAGGTAATGCTTGGTGAAACCCTTGTAGGCCACTGTAAGGTCATTGTTTTGATCTCTGTGAGATGAGACACTAACAGAATTTTGCACTGAAGACTGACGTAATCTGATTTAAGTTTTAAAAGTATAATTTTAGCTGTTGTGATGCACATAGACTATAAAGGGGCAGATAGGAAAACAAAAATTAGGGAGCTAATATTCAGGTTTCCCTGAGTCATTTATCAGGATGGTGGTGGTTAGGTGGTAATTTTAGGTTTTAGAATCTAGAAATATTTTGAAGATAAGAGTCAATAGAATTTTCTTATGTTTTGGATTTGTAATATGAGAGAAATAGAAGAAGTAATAACACCCAAATTTTTGACCCAGACCAAAATGAAACAGCTATTTACTGTAATTATGGAAACAAATACCTGAACTGGACAGAATGTGAAGTATGGCCTCATGATAGATTGAACTTTAGTATGAACACATCACATATAATCCATGTGATATTTATAAACATAGATTGGTAACACAATTGAATCAAAATTACTATTCAGAAGAGAGGTACCAGCAGTGAGTAAAGGATGGTCCAAAGATTTTATAAGCATTTGGTAGAGGATGATTTCTGGGAACTTCAGTATTACCTCACAATGCAATTTCTATTTCTGTATGTATTCTCAAGGACAGAAGATCAAACAGCTACTAGGAAATTCTAGGCAGCAAATAGAAGGAGAAGAAAAATACTCAAAGCACCTTTAATCAGAAGAAAAAATATAAAGATGTAGAATTACATAACAGAAATAATAAAAACCAGAGGCTTAGTTGACCCACAAAACCCATGAGCCATCAGGCACGTTTGAATGCTTTTCTATGAGAGGAGATACACCTGGAAGAGGTAGAAGAAATCCTATAACTACTAAATGATTATCACTTTAAAGTTTTCTTTGCTCTGGGGTCAGGAATATTTGTTGTAATTACTAAGTTGATAGGAAAAGATTGGGGGAGGAAAACAAGCCACAGTCATTAATCTATAGCATTTTTCACATTTAAATATGTATTTGAAAGGTGTTTAGTATTGTTTATGCAAAAGCATGTATAATTGAATTTATTAGAGAATAATTATGTAGGTTCTTAAACTGTCTAAATTAAATATTTTGTGATTCATATTGTCAAAGAATACTCATTCTGAATTCTTACACACATAATTGCATTAAATAGCACTTATCTTTATTTTATTCTCTTTGTTTTAGCATATTGGTTTTTGGTCTGTATTGTTTGGTTAAAAGGGAGCTGAATAACAAGCCATTCTGTCTGTCCTTTTAAAAATTAAATATTGTTAAAATTTAATGAAGTTTTAAAAATTAAAATTTAAAGACTACATTAAGAACGTATTTTAAAAAGAGAAGAGTATATGTGATATTCTATAATCAATGAGAAAAAATATTTCTCCCTGATCAACTAAAGAACAGGCAATTGAGAATATTTGCTCAAAACATTTTGTGTGATTTATTCTATTAATTAAAGTATTATTTAAATGATTTTATTACTTATTTTACAGAATATTTTCCACATCTTTCTGTTAGTGAATTGATACACAGTAATTGCATACAGTATCTGTAATCATATTCTGTTTATATATAAAAATTATGAGTGATTGTAATCTAAAGTGTTAGGTATAAAAGTTAGGTTATGAAATAAGAGAGTAAAAATGAAGTATAGTCATCACATGAATTTTTACTTCGGCATTACATGTTAGAGGTCAAGTACTTTTATTTATTATAGTGATGCTTGGTGATTGTTAATAAAATTGCTACTATGTGTATGATTATGTAGACTGTTGAAGCAGTTGAGGTATGTTCCTCTAGCTACAACTTAAATCAGTTTCACAAATCCTCTAAACTTCACTTGACTCATCCATAGACTAGCACTGCATCTCCATCTTATTTTGTCTTTCCCAAGATTTTCAACTCTTGGGATAAATTCTACAGCAAGAAGTAAGGATATATACATAAATTGTATGTACATGTATATATTTTTAAGTGGCTTTGACCAAAAAGGAAAAAAATATAAACACATAATATTACATTACAGACATTCATAAGATAGGACAAGTACCTACAGATTTATTTAATTAATTTATTTAATTCCACATCCCAGTTTACATCATTAAGGATCCAAATTCTTTCCTCCTGTATTATCCTCAGGGTATGAATTTTGTTATTGGCTGTCTCTCCTGATAGTCACAAAATGGCTATCACAGTTAGTGGCAGTACAAGAAAATGAAACGAGGTCCACCATATTTATATGTGTGTGTTTATCCTGTGTGTGTGTGTGTGTGTGTGTGTGTGTGTTGGGAAATGTCTTCTATTATGTTTCTTTTTCCCCAGTCTTCTTGAGGTATACTTTATATATACATGAAACTTGCCCATATTTAATGTGTTCATTTTGGCAGCTTTGGACACCTGTATAAACCTGTAATGCCATCACCACAGTCAAGGTAAAACACAGTCGTCACCTCCAAAAGAATTCTTGTGTCTCCTCGTTCCTTCTCCCTCCTGCCGCTGCTGCTGTTGTAGTTGTTATTGTTGTTCTTCTGCTTCTCCTTCTTTTGGTGGTAAGGAAACATGGCATGCAATCTACCCTCTTAAATAGTTAAATGAACGATACTATATTGTCAACTATAGGTACTATGTTGTACAGCAGATCTCTAGAACTTGTATACCTGCAACTTTACATTAGTGAAATAAGTCAGTCACAGAAGGACATTTACTTCGTGATTCCATTTTTATGAAGTACCTAAAACAGACAAATTCATAGAGGCAGAGAATAGAATGGTGATTATAGGGGATGGGGCATGAAAATGGGGATGCCTGTCCAGTAGGTATTATGTATTCTTTTCATTACTAAATAACATTTCTAAGTCAGCAAATTTCCTTTCAAATCTCAAAAGCTTCAACTCTAACAACTGCAACTGTTCCTTGGAAAGAGTAATTGAGCAAGGCTGATATTTATCTGGTTTGTACCAGTGTGTGGCCTTTGCAGTTATTAGATATTGAAACACTTTTTTTTTAATTTTTTTTAATATATATATTTTTTTATTTCTAGGAGAGCAAGAGAGACAGCGTGAGCAGGGGAGGGTCAGAGAGAGAGGGAGACACAGACTCCGAAAAAGGCCCCAGGCTCTGAGCTGGCAGTCAGCACAGAGCCAGACGCGGGGCTAGAACCCACGAACAGCGAGATCATGACCTAAGCGAAAGTCGGACACTTAACCGACTAAGCCACCCAGGCGCCCCTAGATATTGAAACACTTTCAAATTATTTGCCAAGCAGCCACTGACTCAATCCTATCTAGTACTTCTATTGCCCTATTCTCAGCAGCTTCTGACAGGCAATTCTTTAGACCTCCAGACATCAGCCCCTTTTAGCAGGGGGCCTCCAGAATTCCACTCCTGTGTTGAAGCAGCTATCT